GGGTTCTTCATGCATCTTAGCAAATGATTGATCTACAAATTTGTGTAATGAATTTTTCCTAAACGTACTAGAAAATTATTAATGAACTTTTTTTCGTATGTTTGTATTCACGTTTAAAAAAAACAACACCAACAAAAAACTATTTCTTATATTATCTTTTAAAAAATTCTCACAGATTTTTAGTATTACAATTCCTCCAATCTCCCTCTTCCTACCCCCTCCCTCGGGGATCAAGGAATGGTAATGGGTCTCATTTAAATATTGACAAATGCCTAAGCTTCTCCCAATCCAGCCAACCATACCTGCCCGTGGAGGTCCCTGTTTCTACTGACACGGCTCTGGCGAATGGCGAGTTGTTGGCGCCAACAAACCAACCTCCCCCTCCCCCTCCGTTTCCTAGAGGGGTTAAAACAACAGGATGGGAGCAGGTGTGGCCCCACAAGGTGCAGGAGGCAGAACCCACCGATGCGTGGTAGACACTACGCTCCTCACTAACACACCCCTACTCTCCCTTGAGTGGGTGTCGAATCTGCCTAACACCTCTACTGCTTTTATTCAACACAACCTCTGTGGATGAGAAGGTACCATCTAGTCTGAGAATGTCTGGGTGCAGGGGATGGACCTAGCGGAATGCCCGACTTGCCTTCTGGTCGTGGACCTCTTAGTAAAGGCACAACGACCCAGGACGTGACGATCCAATGGCTTTCTCGCTGGGCCGAAAACTCATGAAAGAGTAGACAACTTTAGCCAGTAGCCATTCGTGGCGGAGAATGGGCAACGACAACCCTACCGGAATGACACGGTCACAGGGCAGTTAGGTCATCCAGCATCATGAAAACCCCTTGTACCCTCCTATCCTCAACGTGCAGGGCCCCTTCCCAGGGTGGGCAGGCAATCCACAGACACCCCAGTTCACAGTCCCCCCCTCCATCCCTCCATCTCCAACTCACCAGTGTCCTCATCATAGGCCAGAGCAGTGTAGAAATATTTGCCAGACATGCGTTCTTCTGTGATGATGGCTGTGTCCCTCTCCCTCTTCCCTGCCCCTCCCTCCTCCCCCTCTCTCCTCCCCCTCTCTCCTTCTCCTCTCCCTCTCTCCTTCCCCTCCCTGTCACTCCCCCTCCCTG